GGTGTGGTTTCACCTCGAGCTTCAACGGATAAGCGTCCAGCTCGATTCCTCGGCTTGGCCGGGTGATGCCGGTGGATGCAGGTGGAGCACTGGGGCTTGAAGGGTATTTCCTTGGCATTCTCTTGCCCTTGTTCTCCTTCCGCCCGGTGCCCCTCGCTCTCAACCCCAGGGGATGGCGTTGGTACCTCTCGCTCCTTGGCGCGGTGGGAAGCCGTGCACCGGGGTGGCGACCAGGGACGCTCTGGTGAGCGAGAGCCCGCTGGTGAGCCGCACGCCCCTGCGTAACGGGGTGAAGTGGATGGGATTATGGGGGTGAGAGCTCCGAGATGTACTTAATGACAGGGGAGGGCGAAGCGGCGAGAGCCTGGCGAGGTAATCAGGCGGCCTTAACTGTAGAAATGGCCTGAAAGAGGCACGAAACAGCCGGAGGTAGGAATAAATCCGCAGAAAATGGATGCGTCGAGGCTTTTACGGGCGCTGATGGGTTTGGCTATTACTGGCGATCAGGACATCGGCGTGGGTGATGGCAGCGGAGGTAAAAAGCCTCCAGGTTTTTGGAGAACCTTGAGAAGCAGGGATCGGAAGGCTCCGGGAAATGTCAGTAGAAGTTTGTTCACTCGGGCTGGAAATAAACGGGGCTTAGGGGGGTGGGGAGAGTGCCGAGCCTCCCTCTCCAAGTGAGAACGTCTCTGAGAGAAGCGGCGTGGTGTCTGTCCCTCGGGGTGACGGCCGTGTTCCTGCTGCTCCTGTTCCCAAGGGCCTTACGAAGGTCCCTGCAACAGCTGCAAATGCTTCCCCCAAATCCGTAAACGCTTCCCCCAAATCCGTAAACGCTTCCCCCAAATCCGTAAACGCTTCCCCCAAATCCGTAAATGCTTCCCCCAAATCCGTAAATGCTTCCCCCAAATCCGTAAATGCTTCCCCCAAATCCGTAAATGCTTCCCCCAAATCCGTAAATGCTTCCCCCAAATCCGTAAACTCTTCCCCCAAATCTGTAAATGCTTCCCCCAAATCCGTAAATGCTTCCCCCAAATCCGTAAACTCTTCCCCCAAATCTGTAAATGCTTCCCCCAAATCCGTAAATGCTTCCCCCAAATCCGTAAACTCTTCCCCCAAATCTGTAAATGCTTCCCCCAAATCCGTAAATGCTTCCCCCAAATCCGTAAACGCTTCCCCCAAATCCTTCCCGGACCCCATCCAGGCAAAGGTGGGAGGCTCTGGCTGCTAAGGCTGCGTTTTCGGTCACACGTGCCCACCCGCGCCCCGTGGCAGTAGCTGCGACGGGCGTCTGTCCTTTCCTTCCGCCCTCCTTCGAGCTCGGCTTTGAGCGTGAAGAATTTCAGAGCAAAGGCGATGCGGTAACGGCGACGGGCAGGTTTGAGCGGGGCCGTGGCTGCGTTTACCCGCGGGATGGGAGGTGGACGCTGCCCTTGTGCGTCTTCGTCGATCGCCGCTGAAGGAGCGGAGCCGCGGTCCTTCTCTGGCGTGCTCTGCAGGAGCTCTTGTCCAGCGCGTGCGGCGCATCCCCTGCGCGCAGCGCTCTGCCGAGGACGGAGGAGACGCCTGCTCCGCTCTCGGCCTCTCGCTGCCCCGCTCCAACTTTTAGCAGGTGCTCTGGTACCGACTGCGGGAGGAGTGGGGGTGGGAGGAACGTGATTTACCCTTAAGGAGCACCCTGGGGCACTGCCGGCAAAATAAATCTTTGTCCTTCTTTGTGCCAGAGTGAAGAAGATGAGAAACTGAAGAAGAGGAAGGAGCGGTTTGGCATTGTAACGAGTTCAGCCGGAGCTGGAGCTACAGAGGACACAGAGGTAAAAGCTTTTCTGAGCGGGTGGGGAGAGGCCGAGGATGCCGAGGGCAGCGGTGACGGTGGCGGGGGTGGCAGCGTGGCTCCCCACACCGGGCACCTCGCTCGGCGCCGCGTCCCCGGCTGAGCTGAGCCGTGGGTGGGTGCGCTCCCGTGGCCGCTCAGCCCTGGCAGCGAGCGTTGAAACGCTGCCCTCCGACCTGTCGCCGCTTTTCCCCTGGCTCCTGCTGGAAATAGGCTGGTCTGGAGATGGCACGGATGCTTCCAGAAGAGGCGGGGGGCACATCTGCTCTACTCCAGTTTCTCCCGCCCCGGTTCCCCCTCCCCGCGGGTCGAGCTGATTCGCCCTCTGCTCCTCCTGCTCTGTGATCCCCTCTCTCCTGGATGCCTCTGGACCCTCTGCTTCCCCTCGGATGCTATTGTAGGGCTTCGTCAGTAAATCCCCGGAGACTCCGCAGCGTAATGAGGATTGAGACGCTGACCCTGTTTCCAGCTTTCCTCCTCCGTGCTTTGTTCTGTCCTCTGTGGTTTTGGCCCATCTTTTAAATTTGTGAGCTGCTCAGGGCAATTTTGTGCTCTCTTTTGTGAACTTTGAGGCTTTTTTTCTGCTACAAATTCCTCCCAAGTCACCGAGCAGGCTGTGCTCCGGCACGGGCCGGCTGTGCTGCGGCGCCGTAGCTCCTGCATTAAGTGAGGCGAGGAGCGCTGCGCACACCTATGGTGCCACGTAAATACGGCTCCAGCGCGGATCGGCCGGAGTCGGGGACCCCTCTCCTGGGGACAAAGGGACCCCTCGGGGCGGGGGACTCCTGCCTTAACACTCAAATGGCAAAGGTTGCGGCAGGGCGAGCGCTGGGGCTCCGAAACTGCTTAACCAGATGGCTCCTGGGCTCGGCAGGCGAGGAGTGGGTTTTGTTTGGTTCCCAAGAGCGATCTCAGCAATTCAGGTGGGGTTTAGGGGCTTTTTTTTTTTGCTTTTTTTTTTTTTTTGTGTTGTGTGTGTGTTTTGTTTTGGGTTTACTGCAGAACCGCTGCCCCGCGTGAAGCGGCGTTCCCAGCCTTCTGCCGAGCATGGGAGAATGAGCCCCTCCGGCCGGCGCGGAGGGGGCGGCTGGGCGAGGGATTCCATGCTTTTCCGTTAGGTCACTTGGAGATTGTGCCTGGAACAAAAAGGTCTTTTTACTGGTATTGTGTGCACTCAAATGCACCTTTCCCCTGGAGATTCTTGATTAGGGCTTCTGTTGCCCCCGGGCTATTTATCCTGCTAAAAATTAAGATTTATACGCCCCTCGTGTATCGGCTTAAAGGCATATCTGAGAGACGCAATAGTATATTTAATGCGTTTTAGTGTGTCCCTCTCACCTTTTCCATGAATAGGAGAGTGTTAACCCTTTGCCCTTTTACATTTCCCACCTCCCCACTGCCTGGAAGGGTTTCCAGGCCTCTGAAGTAGGCATTGTTCCCGGCTCAGCCCCTTTGTAGCGCCTTGCCAGCGAGACGGAGTGACTTCAGCCGCACTGTATCTCGGGCACTGTACGTTTCTGCTACTTGATTTTGGGGTGCTCTTTGTTAGAGGAAAAACTTCGGAGCTGCCTTGAGCTTAACTCGGCGTCGGTGCGCTCAGGAAGGGGCCGGAGCCGCCGAGCTCTGGCATTACCGATGCCAAATTTTTGATAAATCCTCCCGTCGGGTCGTGTGTGAGATTTTTAAAGAACTTGTTCGTTTGTTTCTCTTTGGTTTTGATTTATTTTTTTTTTTTTTCTTGTAATTCCTCTTCGCAGGCAAAGAAGAGGAAAAGAGCAGAACGCTTTGGGATCGTCTGATGCCGGTCCTTTTTCGCTTCAGCCCATTTGCAGTGTGCCTCTCGAGTGCGTGCATACTCTTTCTCTCTCTTTCCCCCACTTTCTCTCACTCCCGCACTGTTTCTCTAGGTTTTAGTGATGAGTAGACAGGGAATCCCCCGTAGTTGTATGATTGTGCTACTTATTTTTTTCAAGTTACGAAGTTTAAAAATGAAGAAGAGTTGAGCAAAAAGAAGAAACTGTTCTCGGTGCGTCTCCGGCACCCGGTGGTTTCCCAGCCGCCGGTGGGTCATTGGCAGCGGCTCGCACCGGAGGTACCGTCCGGCGGGGAGAGATGGAGAGTGTCCCGGTGCTCTCCCAGCGCCGCTGGGAAACGCCTGTGCAGGGGAGAGCCAAACTCCGCCCGGAAAATAGAGGGGTGGATAGAGCAACGGTAGGGGACCGGGATCTGCCCTGCCACGAGGAAGGGAAAGCGTTGAGGAAGGAAGACAGAGCGGGCTTCGCGCTGCCCTCAGCGGTCGCTTTCCCAGTTTGAGGACTCCCGGCGCGCTGCTGAAGCGAGGAGCGGCTTGGAGTGCGCTGTCTGTTTGCCGTCCGACGCCGTCGCCAGTCCTCTCCTCCTCCTCCTCCTCCTCCTCCTCCTCTTCCTCCTCCCTGTGGAAACGGGCCCCAGGGTTCCGCTGTATCCGGGTCTCTTCCCAGCAGCCGGGACGAGGACGCGGCTCGTCCGGAGAGCACGCTGCGTTACACCGGTCCTGCTCTGGCTCTCTGCCGTCTTACCCCTGGCTCGTCCGGGAGCTGACAGGTTGAACGTCAGGGAAGGATTTTCTCAATTATATTGTCTCGCGTTTTCAAAAATGGAAGTGGCGTGTGTGATAGCCGACGCGCGGGGCAGGTTCCCGACTGCCTTCCCTCCCCGGGTGAGGCTAATGGGAATTGTCAGAGCAAGAATTGCCGATTAACCCTAGATCAAGACCGGTGTCCTAAAACGAGGAGGAAAACGTAGCAATGCATTTGCAAACGGAGCCCCTTCTCACCGCTTCATTTATCCCGCCTCCTTCAGCCCTCTGCGCCTCGTGGCGTTCCCCGTACGTTGCGCAGGTTCCCCTAAGGTCGGTGACGCGTTCCTCTCCTTAAACCACAAACCAGCGGAGTGGCGCTGCCCGTGTCTCTTCTCAGGCTGCGTTTTACCTTGTCCTCTCTTTGCCCCAGAGTAGCTGCCACCCTGGTTTAACTCGCAGACTTGCCGAAGAAGCTGCAGTCTTCCCCGAGCTGCCCGGCGGTGCGGGAGAGCACCGGCGCTGTCCTGGGACGCGTGTGTTGAGTGTGGAGGTCCTCGGTAGCTGTGCAGGAGCGCGGTTCCTTCTGCTGCGTTAGCCGCAACCCTTTGGGTGAAATTACGGAACGGGATTTTGGCCGAGTCACGCGAAAGGCAGCGCTGCCGCAGCTCGGGACGCGCTTCTCGCTGTTTTAGCGTCTCAGACGGCACCGTTGTTCCTGGGGGGGCTGTAAAGAGCCGTTCCCCGGGGTGGCTTGTGTGGGTGGGAGACGTGGTGGCGGTGGAGAAGCGTAGGACCCCGAAGCCGGTGGGGTTGGAGCGGCAGCGCCGGCAGAGAGGAGCTGCCGGGTGCCCTTCCCTCCTTTGCCCGCCCAGAGAATTGGTTTCGCTCGCTCCTCGGTCGCGGCCGATCTCCCGCCCCGTGTGGGGCTTCGCCCCAGGCGGGAGCCGCAGTCTGCGGGGGGTCGTCGGTGGGTTTTGTGGCGGAGGTCCTTCTCTTGGTCGAAGACTTGACATCCCGGGATTCTGATTTCTGACTGTCACCTCTTACCGGGGCGATATCTGCCTTCTCCGCGCTTGGTTCCTTGAGACGCTAGAGAACAGCGGGGACAAATCGAGCTTTTCGGAGGCTTGTACCCGATTCTTAATAAGCAATATATATATATTTTTTAACGTAGAAGTCTTCAAACTGCTTCTGTTCTGTTAATGTTTGCAGTCCGACTGCGTCCCCGTGCCCTCGGTGACTCTAAGCAATACCTTGGACGTTCGTTTGCTTTCCCAAAGGGCAGCTAAAAGCCACGGGGTGCGGGTGACGTCGTCTTGGGTTGCCAGTGGCTGAGTGAGTCGAAGCTCCCTTGCTCCTCCCTGACTTGATGTAATAAGGTTATTCCCGTATTTTATTTTAACGTTTTGGGGGTGGTTTTTTTGTTTTGTATGTCAGATTTTTGTAAAGATGCATTTTCTATTTGGCTCACGCTCTTTTTGCTGGTTATTTGCTTGAAACGTTTTGTAGTGTGCCCGGGCAAACACTGCATTTCACTCTCGGTTTCATAATAAAACTGCTTCTCCGAGGCGATTCTGGTATCTGTCACTTTGATGCATGGCGCGGCCGAGGCTCGGGGCCGGAGCGTGCCGCCGGGAGGGAGCCGGAGCAGATGGAGACTTGGCCGCTGCCGCTCCTCAGAGACGCTGCCCGGCCGAGCCGTCGCCCGCGGGTCGGGGCAC